TTTCATAAGCAAAGTATATCTTATATTATTAATAAATTATTATTTTATTTAAAAAATACTAAATACAATTTAATTTTTCAAACAAATTTGTCTAGAATATGGTTTAAAAGATAATAAATAGAGCTTAAAGTTTTTTGGATTTATATCTAAAACTATAAAAGTATTTGCTATATTAAATCAATAAACCAAAGTATATAATAAATATAATTATAAGATAAAAAGAAGTATTGTGATGAAAAAGATATTGTGAGAAATTTGTAATATCTCATGATATAGTAATTTAATTCAAATAATTTATATACTATTTAATTCATCTCATTAAAACAAATCAAATAGAGCAAAATTCATCTAAATTTAATCACTAAATTATAAGATATTGTTAATAACATGTTAAAATAATTATTTTATAAAAAATTTTAATGAACTACAAATGTATAGCCAAGGAAAGACAAGCTTCATATTATGTAAATCGACTATAACATTCTAAGTAAAGTTGTTGGATATGGCAACTTAGTGAAGTAGATAAGTTGTCATCCTTCAAGTGATAGGTTGTGAGTTTAAAACTTACTAACAGCAAAATTTGAATAATCACTTATGTAATATATAGATGGTATTATGGCAATGGCATTCTGTCGATCAGTTGGGATAAGATACCTATAACTATAGTTGCACTAGCATAACTGGCAGGTCTGAAGCATTTGTGTAACCTGTTACACAGAGGAATGCAAACTGGTACCAGGCAGTGCAAACCTAAAATAAGTCCTTGGGCCATGTAAATCTGTAGAACTAAAAAGCTGAAGCCTACTTGGAAATTCTGAGCAGAGATGTAACATGAAACTTCAACAGTACTACTGTAAAAGCTAAACCTAGGAAATAAATACCAATGTGAAGAATTTGAGCAAGCAAGAACCTTGAGTAAAGGGTACCACCAACTAGGCTACCAAATTTCAGACTGAAGGAAAAGGATATTGGGCTGGCCTTAATATACCAAGAACAGACTACAGTCCTTCTAGGCTATCTGGATTAGGAGTCTGGGTTCAAAGCAGAGATATACTAAAAGTATTAGAGATATGCTGTGAAGTCAGTACTGAGTTTTGGGTAAACTCTGCAAGAGTTGTCTGTGTTAATGTTCTAAAAGTGAGTAGATAGTTAACAACAGAGGGTCCTTTGCACCTTACTGGCAAGTGATATACTCTGAAATGTGTAATGGCCTGGGAACCAGTACAAAAAGAGTAGGTATCATACTGCTTAGATGGTATATTGGTTAGGTATATACAAGGGGTTAGTTGGGGATTCCAATATGACAGAGTAGATAATTAGAGGGTTTAAATAGATAATCTTCTAGTAGGTTATAGGTATAGCATCTAGTATAGAACCTTAGGGCAAACTACTTAAATAGGCAACCAAAAGTTGCACATATAACTAACTATACTCTCATCTCTATAAAAATAATTGTAATAGCTAACCTGATATAAAGTTAATAAAGTATTGCCACAAGTATGACCTTTAACAAAAAAAAAAAAAAGTAAAGTTGTTCATAGAGCAAATTATATATATTTACAAAATTAGATAAAAGAATATTGTGACAAAGGAGCTATTGTAATAAATTTTAGTATTATTAACTTTTAAACTATTTAATATTAATATTTGTCTAAAAGAAGACAGATAAATAGCATGTCCAAATAATACAAAAAAAAACAAATTTTTGATTATTTGCATAATTTTGCATATTATGTGTTTGGAATCTGTATTAAATAAAATAAAAAAAATTCTATTAGTCATGTTATTTTTATAATATTTGTAATTATTAAGCCTATTTACCTTTACAAAGTTTATCAATTTTCTTTATACTTGAATTATTATTTTTTTTTTTAAATAATGCTATGTTAGTATTGGCTTGTATTTAAATTAATCAGATTTAATCATAGTTCAGACTTTTTTAGTTTAGGTTTATTAATTAGAATTTGTTATAAAAATAGTCTTTTAAAAATTTTAAATAAAATTTAAAGCATCCAAAATTTAATTAAATTATCAGATAACTAAATTTTATTCAGATCTTGCATACTTTTAGAAGCCATCTTTCTAACAATACTTTTTTTTTTTTTTTTTGCTTTCACTAAGGCCGTAGTTATTAGTAGCTATTGCCTTTATTGTATTTTAATTATGATTACATAACTTGTACAAGGTGAGTATACAACTAGCTACACATACAACTTTTAGTTATCTAATTTAAGTAGTTCACCTGCATAGCAGGTTCTACACTAGCTACCATATCTGCAATCTACTAGGAGATTACCTATTTTAAACACTCTAATCCCTATACTTATACTGACAAATAGCGCACAAGTTTCTGTACACCTAGGTGCCATCTAACCTAACCATGACCTTCCTGTCTGTACATCTGTCAAGCCATTACATATTTCAGAGTATGTCACTTAACTGTAAGGCTCCAGGAGGCTTCTCTGCTAACTAACTACCCATATTTAGTATCTTGTTAACAGGGCTTACCCTTGTAGAGTTTACCCAGACCCTAGCATTAACTTTACAGCATATTTCTAGTACTTTAGTATACCTCTGTTTCTGACTTCAGACTTCCAATTCAGATAGCCTGGTAGAACTGTAACCTGTTCCTGGTACCCTAGAGTCTGCCCCTTAAGATCCTTTTCTTCCGATTCGAGTCTTCCAGTAGCCTGGTTGGTGGTACTCCTTACCCAAGGTTCTTACCCACTCGATTCTTTTCACATTAGTATCTGTTTCCTAGGTCTAGCCTTTACAGTAATACTGTCAAAAATCTGTATTACCTCTCTACTTGGGTCTTCCCAAGTGGGCTTCCGGTTATCCCAGTTCATGGATTTACATGGCCACAGATGCCCCATGACTTGCTAGTTATCTAGTGTGACTGTGTTACAGGTACTGATCACAACTGATCAATAAATAGCCATTGCTATAGTACCAGTTTCAAGTACTTATCTTGTGTTTGCACTACCCAATGCCAGTTTGCATTTCTCTGTGTAACTCTAGCATTGCACAGATGCCCATATACACCAATGTAACATAAGTGGTTTTTCAAATTTTTATTGTCAGTAGCTTTTGAACTCCCAACCTACCACTTGGAAGGTTGACAACTTATCCACTTTACTAAGTCACCACACTCTTCTTTCTAACAATATTTAATTGTACTGTACTTAAATTATACTTTTTAAATTGTACTTTTTTATGATTTATTTAATATTTTTACATTTATTTATTTATTAAATTAATTAAATATCACTGCTTTATTTTTTTTATTTTTATTAAATTATTAATAATTCTTTTTTTTAATATTTTAATTTATTATGATGCATCTATTAGTTATATAACTATTTTTTTATTAAATTAATTATTTGTCTCTTAAGTTAATTGCATTTTTTTGTAATTATATTATATTAAAATAAAACTATAAAATGTCTAAAATTTCTTACCTTAATCGACAAGATGCAATTTTTGCTGTAATTAATAAGTTAAATAAATATTCTGTTAACAATAAACACCTAAATATCAGTAGTGTAGCCAGAGATTTTAGACTTTCTAAAGCTACTTTATGATGTATATTTAAGAATAGAAGTTTATCTAATTATTGCAATCTATCTACTATTTTTACAAAATATGAGGAAAACCAACTTGCTAGCTATTGCATAAATATGCAATCACTTGAGTTTGGTTTGACTAAGTCTAACATTAACCATTATATAATAGAAATATTGTAGAATAATAAATAGCTACATCTCTTTGGGGATAAAGAACCAGGTTGGGATTGGTGGACTAGGTTTATAAGAGATTACCTAGAGCTATCATTTTAAGCCTCCCAAGAATTGTCCAAAGCTTGAGCACAAAAAGCCAATACAACTATCATTAGAGATTATTTTGATAAACTTAAAAAAATTATTAATGAAAATTTACTTATAGCAATGCAAATTTGGAATATAAATGAAACCAAGTTTGTCCTTGTATCTAAGTTAGACAAAGTTTTTGCAAAGAAAGGCACATGTCAGGTTTATAAGGTTGCTTATGGAAATTCTCATAAATACATCCAGTTGCTCCTACAATCTTAGCTGCTGGTTCATATATCCCACCTCTGATTATTTATAAAAGTATTTGTACAATTCTCAGTTTATTACAAGATGCACCTTTTAGAGTAGTAATAGGTTTTACAGAAATCAGGTATATGTGTGAAGACTTTTTTCAAATATATCTTACCTATTTCATTAACTTGATTTCTTCAATATGACTTGTATTACTCATGTTTGATGGTCATAAAAGTCATATTAGTTATTTATATATTGATTTTTGTTATTAAAATAAAATATTTCTTTTCGTGTTTTCACTTTATATAACATATATCTTGCAGCTATCTGAAATTCCTTTTGCAAAATTAAAAAAAAAATTTGGTAAAAAATATAATAAGTATTATAATACTACTAAAAAAGTAGTAACAAAGTATACTTTTGCAAAAATTCTTAGTTCAGCCTTTATTAAAACCTATACATCATTAGCTATTTGTAATTCTTTTAAGACTACAGATATATGGCTATTTAATCTCAAGCCTATTAACCCAGATTGCTTGAATTCTTTATTAGTAACAGAACAATTTGACATAGTGTCTTCACTTAGCCAACTCTTAGTAAATTGTTTTGACCCTTTATTAGTAACAAATATAGTGCTTTATCTAGTCAATCTTTAAAACTGATTATATCATCTTTATCAATGACTATTTAACTTAATCATTTATATTATACCCTTAAAAATTTTGACTAGTTAATGTCAGAAAATAAATCACTTTATAATGAAGATGAATTACTAAAAATTCAATTAATAGCTATCTAAGAAGAATTAGAAACCTACAAGTACTCTGAGACAAGTTCTTTGCATTTAGTTTTTAAGTATAGTTTTTCTTGAGCTCTGCAGATTGAAATTTTAAATTCTTTTTAGTCTGGTTCTGTTCCTAAAAAAAGAAAGACACTTCTATTTGCACAACTTTTTATCAACAATGAAAGTTTGTAGAAGTTAAAAGAAGCAAATAAAAAAGTAGAAAAAAAGAATAAAGAAGCTAAACAAAAAAAAGAACTGATGACCTAAAGAAAAGAGTTGGCAATTCAGAAAAAAGAGCTGGCAGTTCAGAGAAAAGCAATAGTAGTTCAAAAAAAAATTGAATGACAGTGAGACTTGGAACAAAAGAAAAATATAAGTAAAAAAAAGACAAAAAAAAATTACAAGACTAAAATGCAGTAGAGGTACTAAATTGTATACTAGAATAGTAGAAATAATGTAAAAATAATAAAGTTATATTTGCAAACTTGAACAATAGAAGTAACTAAAATTCAGATCTAAAAAAAAAAAAATAAGATTAAGTTTGTATATTAGTACTAATATATGTAGTACATATATACCATATAGACAGATGTTAAATGATTGTTGTTCAAGTCTGGTAAGGTCTTTTTTCTAAATAAATAAAAATTGTATAATGATAAGCCTTATGTGTTAATAAAGTGAAAAAAAATTTTTATGTATAAATTCCAATTTTGTTACAATACCCCATTCACTTCAAAATTCTATATTTTGGTTTTATATACAAAATGATTATTATGTCCAAAACTAGTATATAATATAATAAAAATTTATGTAAAATCTAATCTAAATTAAGCTTTGGTTTAAATATATTTTAAAAAAAATATAGATTTTATATAATAAGTATAAAGTTTTATATATAATGATTTTAACCTTGTCACAATACTCCACTTTACCTTATATATATATTGTTATAGATAAAAGCCTTCTTAATTTTTATATTATAATAATAACACAGCACAGAAAATTCCTTATAGGTATATGCAGTATCCAAGAGAAAAGTATAGCTTTTGTTAGACATTGTCAAGAAACTATACACTTTTTTAAGGCAGTTTAGAAAAGATAATGCAATACTAATAACTTTATTTTATTTCATTAAGAGAAGATAAACCTTGCCTATAGGAATTACCTTAGAGAAGAAGTATCAATACAGTTTATAGTCAAAAATCATTTATTAAAATAATAACAAAAAGGGCTATCCTTAGGTTTCTGTTTCTAAAGAATCCCAAAATATGTTTACAATATTAAAAAGAAGAGAGGTGTCTGTTGCTTAATTACACTTGGGAAATTTAGCAGAGTTTATATATCAGTAAGCTAAACAGCTAAGCAGCCAAGTAACTAAGCGATTAAGTAACTAAGTGACTAAGCAACTAAGCAACTAATTGATTACTAAACAATCAGAAGGTTCTAGCAACTAATGACTAATAATTACTAAGTAACTAATTACTAAATGACTAAGCAGCTAAGTGATTAAACAACTAAGCAACTAAGTGATTACTAATTAACTAAAAAGTTCTAACAACTACTAGTAATAATAATAATAGAAAAAAACTCTTTCTGTAAATCCTTTTTATACAAAAATAACTAAAAATTCGTTAGTACTAAAATCGCTAATATCTGGTTTTTTTACTAAGATAACCAACTTTGGTGTCTTAAATGAACTTGATCAGCTCACAATTTATATATATTCTAAAAGTTTCAAGTCTATAAGTTTCAAACTTACAGTTTAATACTGCAAAAATAGCCTTTGGCCTTCACTATTAAACTTTTAATTATTTCTCATAAAGCATCTTGTTAACCTATTTTATAATCATAAAAAAAGTTATAAAGCACTGCCTTTTGATCAAAACAAGGCCAAAAAGAAGCTTGTAAGTCTAAAATTGACAGAATTATAATAGAAAACAACTTTAACTCCTCTGTAGTTTATTTTTCTTTTTTTTTTATTCCTTTGTCCTTACCCCCAAATTTTTTCTCTAAAACATTTTTGTGTAACCTCAAATTATTTCTAAAATTGGTTTCATTTAATTTCACATTATGTAAATTAAATTTATTCAAAAAGAAATTTATTTGTTACAAATTAACTTGTACTAACTCACTAAAAATAAATTTTGCACTCAATTACACAATAGTTACTGTAATACTCAACTATTTATAATTTTGTACTACATTATTTACACTAGCCACACCAGCCACACCAGTCCCAAATTGTGTTACCTAAGTTACACAAGTTTACACAAGCTGTAGCAGCTACAGTAATCACTGTCAAACCCCTGCAAATACAAATTATAGCCTACGATTAAATTTATATTATAATTAAACTTTTAAAAACCTTTAATCAAAGACTACAAAAAATTTTACTAAGTAACCTAAACTCCAACTTCTAAGTAAACTTGTAGCACTATGCTTACTCTTAGCATAAAAGAACCAGATACCTTAGATCTTGATTATTTCTTTAATAATCATGCAAGCTCTTATGAAATCACCATCTATAAAAATGAACCTGTACAAGTAAGAGCTATTCCAGACAAATACAGACCTACCAAATGTATTACTATGAAACTTAGATCTCATTCACCAACTCACTTCTTTTCTGCTCCTGCAACAACTGCAACAATCAAGTACATATATGAATTATTCCACACTAAATTTATTGCAGAAAACAATAAAACATATGAACTTATTAGCAAAACCAATAAAACAACAACCAACAAACAAGCCAAAATGCTCTAACAAGCACTTGCAAAATCTAAATCTCAAGTTTCACCATCTTCTACAGCCATATTCATACACATATTTGTCCTAAATGCCAAACTTACATTAACTGTAAAGTAACTAACAACAACCATATACTAAAAATAAATCTATCTTTTATCAAAATACAGTATATTACAATAACTGCTTAGCTAAAATTTATAAAGAAATGACTTTAGCTAATTAACGTAAACTTCAACTTACTGAAAACTCTAAACAAGACCCATCTTCACAATATAAACTTCTAACTAAACAGCTTGTTACTTCTTTACTTGATCAAAATCCAAACAAACCTCTTGTTTCAGAACTTGTTCCTACTCTACCTAACTTTGAAGAAACAACTTCTACTAACAATGATATGGATATCGACAGCTCTACTACACTATCTAAACCACAACAACAATTACAAATTTAACAAATACAACAACCACAACAACAACAACCTTTACATCAAGCTTTACCACTCTTATACAAATAACAGCCTAACAAAAAACCATCCCAACAATCTCAACTGACTTAATCTTATAGTCAAGCAACAAGACCCAAACTTAACCCATCATATGACTTCCTAGCAAACTTTCCAGTTACTGATGAAATGCAAAACAACACAAAATTACAAACAGAGATGTTTCAAAAACTTTTTAATTTTCTTAAAGAACATCTTCATAACTTTTACCCTAGCAAAGTCATTAAAGAAGCAGTTAAAAAATGAGATTCACTCAAAGCAAGCTTTTACGTATCTATTAATTGGACAAATGGCTAGTACTAGACCTTAATTTCTCACTGACTTAATTCAACAACATAACTTTGACAATGATAAAGCTGCTACAATATCATTTAATATTCTTGAAAAAACACTCAGAAAACTTATTTTCATATTTACAACAGTTCTTTTTACTAAACTTAACTATCCAGAAATATTTGCTCTCCAGCCACTATTCTACCTATTCAAAATCATAATTGATTACAATTTTGTATTAATCTCGCCTGACTTCACTTATATCTTTCTGATAACTATCAAGCAATTAACTATACCAAATTTACAGAAGATATTAAACTAAGACCTAAAAGATTTAATATAACATCTGAGGTCACTGAAGTTGATAAACAACATCAGTTTCTTTTTATTAAAATAAATAATCGTTTTAATATTAAACTAAACTTTAACCTTTCTAAAACCTTATTCCTTCAAAAATACAATATACCATCTTTAAAAAAATTCTTTTGATCATTTCAATGAATGAATCGAAAAAATTTTTCCTATATACAGTCATCAATTCTCTAATACTATTAACAAAACCAAAGTCCAAAACTATCTTAAGTATGAATTTAGACAACATTTTATTTCTCATCTTAAAAAGCTTCTACCTACCACCATTAAGTTCAAAAAACCAACTAGTCTTCATGAAAGATGTAATGAAACCTTCAGACATGCCAACCATCATATACTTACCTGCACAAACCCCAAATGTTCCTATCTTGAGCTGGTCATAACTAAAGATAAGAAAAAAGAAAATAATAAAGAAAAAGAATCAACAAACCTAACAAAACTAAAAAAACAAACTCTAAACCATAGCTTATATACAACTCAACCAAACTTATTAGAAATATATTTGACTTATTATACAATACTTATCTAAAAGAAA